GCTGGCTCCGCATTAACTAAAGCTGAAAACCAACTATTGGACATGAGATGAAAAATCAAATCTACTGCATTTTCCTGGAAATCGAATGCCCTCAACACAAAGATTAAAAAAGACCACTCCATCTTATCATATGCTTTCTCCACATCTGGTTTTAACATCAAGTTTGGCACTGCTAATCTTCTATCAATCTCGTTTGCATGTTCCTGAACCATTAGAATATTATCAATAATTTGTCGGCCAGGGACAAAACCAGTTTGTCATGGGGAAATTAATTTGGACAAAATTTTTTTCAACCTATTAGTCATGATTTTAGATATGATTTTAGAACTAATGTTGCATAGACTAATAGGCTGAAAGTCCCACCTTTGTGATGCCCTCTCCATTTTTAGTATCAATACAATCAACGTACTAGTAATGCCTCTTGGTAAATACTCCCCTTTTAAAATAATCCTGAACTGCCACCAGTAGATCCCCTTTGATTATTTCCCAATAGACCTGCTAAAAATCCGATCCAAAACCATCAGGTCTAGGAGCACTGTCAACATTAATAGAAAAAACAGCCTCATGTACCTCTTCCAAACTAGGTATAGTAATCAAACTCTTAGTATCATCCTGTGACAATTGAATCCATCTCTGGCTATCTGTTAATGCTCCTATCCGAACGAAATAAATTCTCAAATAAATCCACTGCCGAACCCTTGATAAGCTCTACATCCTCTAACCATTGCCTTGAAGAATCACATATTCAAGAAATAAAGTTTGAATTCCTTCGCTGCCTGACAATGGAATGGAAAAATGCTGTATTCGCATCTCCCACTTGTATCCATTTGATTCTTGATTTTTGTCACTAATAATCACATTCAATAGCTAATTGGTTCATATATGTTGCCTTGGCTTTATGATATGCTATTTTAGATGACATATCCTTATTTGTATCATATTCCTTCTCCTTGTCACTCATAACCTCTTCCAACTCGTTCATCCTAAGAGTAATATGTCCAAAGACCTCTTTATTCCACATCCACAGCTTTCTTCGAACATAGATTAATTTCTTGAAAAAATCTTGCATACTATGCAATTGAATAGAGTCTTCCCATGTTTTTTTAACTACCTTTGAGAATTCCGGATGCCACAACCATGCATTTCAATACCTAAATGAAGATGCCACCTGACATCCTAATTAATCAGCACCCTATCCAATTGTTGCCAAACTATCCCATTTGTCCAGGTGTATATAGGCCCCTCAAAATCTATTGAGGCTAAACCACAATTAAATATTACTAGGTTAAATTCCTCCATGTTTCAAACATTTAGTGATGACACTCCTAATATCTCCGAGGCTTTAGAAATGACGTTAAAGTCTTCGGCAATCATCCACGGTCCTTGCCTTAAACCCGCCAAGCTTTCTAAAGCATTCCAAAGAGGTCTCCTAGCAATTCTAGTACATCTACCATAGATAGCCGAGAAAGAAAATTGCAACCCAGAAGAGACTCTAATTTTCACATATATCAATTGGTTTGCTAGTGTATTAAATGAAATATTTAGAGCAAGTTCCCAAAGAATCCAAATCCTTCCTTTAACAAACAAAGAAGCCGACTGAAACTTTAAAAAATGCTGAACAAAGCCTAATTGTACATCATCTGACATAGGTTCCAACAACACAGGAATTTTAATGTTATAACCATGGACCATTTTTTTTTAAATACCTAAGTGAATCCATTCTAGATGCACCCATATATTCCAAAGAAGAAAATTAATTAGACTTAACATAAGAATGAAGATCATAATGAACTTGAGATTCAACATCTTGCATGCGTTTCTTACTTGACTTTGGAGGCCTGCATGGTTTCTTCTTCACTTCTTTTGTATCCAATTGATTTATAAGCTGCATATCTACTTCATCAATCACAATAGAAAAAAATGAATTCCTTATCAATCTAACCAGATTACTCCATTTTGCTTAACAATTGACCTTTCACATTATGTAAATCCTGATACAACAAATGTTGATCTTTACCACCTCGCGACAGACTAAGCAAATCAGCCTTCTTCAAATCCTAGATTAGACTAAGCGAACTAGCCCTTCTTCAAATCCTAGATTTTGGGAAAACTTCATCCTCTTCAATCCCTGCAAGAATACCAAAAGAATTAAAGACTTGTAGCTGTTTCGACACCATAACCAAATCTATGCGACCATGTTCGGCCATCCTATCATTTGAACTTGGCTTTACCCCCAGTCCACCAACATCACTCTCCAAATCAATATCCATGAGAATCCCCTCTACTAAATTCTCTTCCGAAACCAACTTAGCAGAATCTAGATCCTTCGAAGCTATTTTTACACCCCGGACCTCTACTAAAGCACTCGCACCCAATGATGTAGCAAAGGTACATTAGGATTCTTGCTCGACATAACGATATGCCCAAACTCATTGTGATGGAATTGATCAACACTAACCTCAGGATGATGAATTACTATGCTAGGATTTCATGCTTGTGACATAACCCTCACATCGTTACCCTCCTCCACCACCATAGCCTTACTTTGTCAACTTGGGCTTTTGGAACATATACCTTAGCCTATTTGTCCCCCATAGGAGCTTGTTCAAGAGACTGTACCTACTTTTGAGGTTTTAAAAATGGATTCTTCTTAAAGCAATCGCCTTCCTCATGTCCAAAAATTTTGCAAAAAGAACAAAAAGCTAGCCAATTCTTGAATTCTACTTTCTGCCAAAAGCCATACTCATCATCTCCAGTCCAAATCCTTTTCACCGGAGGCTACGTAACATCAACCTTAATTAATAGCCTTGCAACCAAAGGATGTCTAATGTCTCTTTTAGCTGCATCAATTTTAAGTAAGTTCCCCAGCATAAAAGCAAGCTTATTCAGCTGATTTTTACCCAAAAAAAAAAGTATAGGTACTTTGGTGAAAACCACCCAAACAGGTGCAATCGATATTTCTTTGTTGGCCTTAAAATCCATAGAACACTTTGAAACCATCATAGGTGAGCTTTGGACAAACCATGTTCTTCTGATAAATAATCTTGTATAATCCTCTTCTAGAGTAGGACGAATCAAGACATGGTTAGCATCCAATAATCCAACAGGGCACTCACCCTAAAGTCTTACTGATAGAAAGAACTTCCTAATAACATCCATAGTGGGCCTGCTAAATGCAAATCCACCAACCAATGCATTGTGAAAAGGTTGTGCTAATTGCATCATCGCTTGCTTAGACATTTGAAGAGCAGGTTCTCCTCTATGCATAGATATTGTACCAAGGTCAAACAAATCCACAGAGTTGCTATTCAAAGACAAAATCGCTGCAAAGCTCCTTGTTGGTAGTGATGGAGCACCATTCATAGATGGATATGGGGCAGGAGCGGTCGTCTGAACGGTCTCCTCACAATAAAAACGTGAGGAGACAAATGAGCCAAGTCAGCAAGGCTGAAGCAGGGCACAAAAACGACGCCGTTCCAAATAAAAAAATGTTGACTTCCAAACGGGAGCAGACGGAGCAAACGGAAGAGAATTGGTTTTTGAAATTCAAGTTGAAATTTTGAATTAGCCGCAGAAAACAAAACTGAGGGAAGCGTCTTCATGTGCTTGTGAAGGTCATCTACTCTGACTGACCGCTCACTGAAGGTAGAAAGCTGAAGTTCGGGTGGGATTCAACCTACTGGGTTCATCTAGGTGAAGTGGGTGTAGTCTACTCTGATGAAGTAGCAATTGACAGAAAAGTGGGTGGAGAGGCAGGCGGCATGGAAGAAGCAAACAGAGATGAAGCCAAAGTTTGTCCGTAAAACTGAATAGCAGAAGCAGCTGTGGTCTCCAATTGGGTATAAGAGTGTTGTATGTATTCTGAATGCGTGCAAGAGCGGCGGTAAGGTAGAAGCAAATAGAGGAAATTCAGCATCTCACGAAACCAGATTTTGTCCTTCAACTTAATAGCAGAAGCAGCTACGTCTCCGACTTCGGTGAAACGTGAAGCGTATTAGCAGACCAAGGTAACATGACTGAACCATGTCAGTAACTGTGGCCAATAATTTGTCACCCAAATGCACATCTGTTAAAGGAAGGATGAAATTAGAGTCACTGAAGACATAATATGAAGATGATAGAAAAATAGTGAAGTTGTACTGTGTTTGTATGTGTGTACCGTATCTGTGTGTGTGTGAGCATTCAGCTTTTTCAGTGATGGACTATAATGGGATAGTAGTTTTTGGAAGACCTAGGGTTATGTATTCAAGTAAACCGTCGCTGGAATTAGGGAAAGATGAGAGAAACAAAGTCACATTTAACAAGTGAATGAATATACATCCTGTTGTAAATTAGTTACATGTTATACCGTATTACAATTGATATGAATCATTGTGCATCTAGTAATTGGTCCATGCTCATGGAGCAATATTAGTTTGTCCCTCTCCTGACCATACAGTGTGTATAAAATGGAGGCGTAGAGTTGAATGAGGTGAACAGAGGAAAAGACACATATGTGAATAATAAATGGGTGAACCTTGTGTTGTAAGTCAATTACATGATGTAAGAAATATATTACAATGAGTAGAAAGTACTTGTTTGGCCCTCAAAATATAGAAATAGTAGAAAATGTGGAGTTGGCTTATGCGGTTGTCATTAACGAATGACATAAGGTCCAGTGAGCTAAAGAATCTAGAATCAAAATATAATCACCAGCGTGGATGTACATACAGTTAAAATAGACTTACATCGTGTGACCAATACATTACAGTCCGTATAAGTTAGTGTACATGGAGTTGTATTTGTACATAGATAATGCCGTTGTCTTAGAGTAAAAGTAAGGTAATGTGAATCATTAATCATATTGATAAGCGTAATAATAGGATTTGGTATACGAGTAATGTGTGATTCATAACACATTATGAATGGTAATATACATTTATATTGTTCGTTTATGTACATACTATTCATGAAATGTTGCAAATTAGGGTGTTTGATGCATAATTGCAGGAGCAGAAGTAATGGATTGCAGCAAATTGGCAGAAAATGGGACCCCTGAGTTAGGAATGGAGTTCAACAGTGAAGAGGATGCGTACAAGTTTTACAACAAGTATGCCTTTAAAATGGGTTTCAGTGTACGTAAAGACTATCTGAATAAAGACAAAGACGGCGTGACCACGTCTAGGAGATATAGTTGCTGCAAGGAAGGTGTGAAATGCAAGTACGAAGGTGATGTGATGCCAAAGAGGACACGAGCGCCGACGAAAACAGGGTGTGGAGCTAAAATGGTTATCGTGTTGTTTAGAGAGGACAATGAAGTACCGTGTGCATGACCTTGTCTTAGAGCATAATCATGAGTTGCACATTGCTCAATGTGCTCACATGATGCCATCACAAAGAAAAGTGAGTGTGGCTCAAGGATTCCAAGCTGAAATAAGCGAGGACGCTGGGCTTTCATTGAAACAGAGCCATGAGCTTATGGGAAAGGAGGCAGGTGGGATGGGAAATGTGGGATATACTCGGGAAGACCTGAAACGATATCTTCGTACTCGACGGGAAAGGAGTTTGAAATATGGAGAAGCAGGTAGCATGCTGAATTATTTTCAAGAGCAAACACTCGAGAATCCATCATTTTTTCATGCCGTACAGCTGGACTGTGAAGAACAATAACGAATATCTTTTGGGCTGATGCAGGAATGTTAATTGACTACAACTTTTTTGGAGACGTAGTCACATTCGACACAACCTACAAAACAAATAAAGAATACCGGCCACTTGGAGTATTTGTGGGTTTTAACCAGCATAGGCAAATTGTGATATTCGGTGCTGCCCTTATGTATGATGAGACGATAGATTCTTTCAAATGGGTGTTTGGTACATTTCTAGAAGCAATGTGCGGAAAGCATCCAAGTACCATACTAACCGACCAAGATCACGCCATGGCAGCCGCTCTTTCATTGTCATGCCTGAAACATTTCACGGTCTATGTACGTTTCACATAAGGCGTAATTTTATGAAACATCTTGGCAATCACTACAAGGAAAATAGTGATCTTCCATACATGTTTGGTGCCTGCATGTATGAGTTTGAAGAAGTGGAACAATTCAATAGGGTGTGGGAGGCGATGGTGAAGAAACACAATCTTGAAAATAATGAATGGCTCTCGGGTTGTATAAATTCGTGATAAATGGGCAAGGTGCATGATGAAAGAAAGATGGACCGCAGGAATGCGAAGCACCCAACTTAGCGAAAGCCTAAATGCAGCAATTAAAAATCATTTGAAACTGGATCATGACCTTGTGCAGTTCTTTAGGCATTTCAATTCGGTAGTTGATGAAAAGAGACATAATGAACTGATCGCAGAATATGAAATGAGACAAAAGCTCCCCATGGTAGGGTTAAGGCAAACACCTATGCTTGTGCATGCATCAGAAACGTATTCACCAACCGTATTTGTTGCATTCCAAAATGAATATGGCGAGTCAACAACTATGGTATATTGAGACAACAAGATGCAGCGATGTTTGTGGAGTTTGTGGTCATGAGGTATGATGGAGGACCTGAAAGAATAGTAGTATTCAATCGGAATGATCTAAGTGTACGTTGTAGTTGCAAAAAATACGAGAATGAAGGCATTTTATGTGGGCACGCATTGAAGGTGTTTGATACCGTGGGCATAAAAATAATTCCTCCTGAATACATTAAGAGTGATGGACAAAAAAGCTCGGGCTGGAGACTGTTTTCATCGCGAGGACAGGAAGTTGTGGCTGATCCAAAGTAATGATTTCAACTCATTATCGGGAGCTCGCTCCAGCCATGATTAAGGTCGCAACTCGAGCAGCAATGTCGGAGGACACCAGCAAAGTAGCAATCACTGTCATATCCGATTTGTCAAAGAGAGTTGAGCTCCTCCTCTCAGAAAGCGAAGAGCAACCTTTGCAAAATCAAAAATTTGAATATGGAGGAACGGGATAAAATTGAAATTGTAAATGAATGGGGGAGGCAGTAGTCGCAAGAGGCATTAAAAAACGAGGCGGTGGGAAGAAAAGTAGAGTGATGCAAAGTTGGGTCGATAAATTTGACAGAGTAAAAAGAAAATCTAGATTATCAAGACTACACCGACTACGGTATGGATCAAATTTTGGTATTTAGGGAACATTTATACTAAAACTAAGTTATTGTTATACTATTAACTAAATTTTAGGTAACATTCATTATGAAATAATATTATTGCCGTGTCAATACTGTAGGTCTCAGAATCGGAGTCGACATCGATTTCATTTGGAATACATGTTTATGGGATGCCGTTCATCTACTGACTCTGTTTCGGTTAGTATAAAATGGAAACGACTCTTGCTTTTATTTGGATGTTTCTAACAGCAAAATAGTTACATTGATGTTACATTGTATGATAATATTGTTACGACCGTCATCCCTCCTGATATACGTATTTTGTTTGTCTTATACAATGATTTGCCCATACGAAACTTGTAGACGCATTCAATGAGTCAGATAGTGAATGGCCCTCCAAATGCTGTTGCTCCCGATATCAAACGGCATGCATACATTTAGTAGTTAAAATAAAAACTTCTTTCATGTAGTAGAGCTACCTTTTTTCTTTAATTGTAATGGTGGCACCCGAAGGCTGTCAATCATGCAAATTATGCAGTTAACGGCTAACGTATGCTCGCTTTAATAACGTATTATTTTTTATTATTCCAAGTGGGATTGCAACTACGCGTTGACAGTCGCCTCTCCCGAGAATGAGGTTGATGAATGATGTGTAACTATACTTTTTGAAAGAGACATTAAGTGGTTGTCCCAACCTGAGAATTGCGCATATGTACGTTACAAGCAGTTAATAAGCTATTACAACTATTTATGAGGTTGTACAGGCACCATTGATGTTTCACTCTTTTTCAAATTAGACAAGTGGATTACAATTGTAATCGCATCTAGTGTTAGTAGTCATCAATAGTTTGTATTGGTTTATAAAATTGTTAAAAATTATAAAGTTGGTAGAAAATTGAAGTAATTACAATAGAATTGAACGTGTTTTTTTGTGATCGGATATTTTTCATTAAATCGACCATAACAATTGAATGGTTGTCGTAATATGTATACCATTCTACTACATTCAATTGCATACCTTAATAACATATTTATTGGCATAGATCGCACCGCCAAAGGTACGATGTATAAGATAACACAATCTAAAGTATAAATTGTCTTGATTTTGTTACGATGATAAATTCGAATTATTATTGGGCTATTTTTATAAAAATATTATCATTTACGCCATTTATTTTGCATCATTTGACGAATTTAGTGCACCATTGACATGATATATCACAGGCACATCAATTGGTATTACAAGTTTTTAGGTTAACTAAATTATGGTCAAGCCAGGTCACGACCACATGTTGGTAATAGGTGCGCATAAGAAAATGATTCCTTGGAGAACTAATTTGTAATGTTAAAATGAAGTTTTACAATGCAACAAAAAGGAAGAATGAACAGTACACAATGGGTTACAACCAGTTAGGGATATGTTACTGTTACGTTACAACTAGTTACGAGTGTTTAACAGGCATGATCAATATCCAAATATGGTAAGCAATTTGTTTGAGTATAGTTTTATCGCTACCCTGATGAACATTGGACTACATCCCTTGTTATCAGTTGTATCCCATACAACACCTGGGAACGCCGTCATACATTAGATAGTGGGGTATGTACCTTTGAAAGTCATCGTCGCTTGATTCAGTAAAGTCAGATAGGTCTGGTCCGATATAAGCATGGGATCTGCTAAAATATGTTGAACATCAAAATGTTTTCCAATACCATGTCTTTTTGCGGCCTGGATCTCGTGAACCTGTGAAGCCTACGCTCCATCTGCATAACTTCTCGCTGTAGTCTATGTAATACGCTTGCATCATTGGCTTGTGGTCCTATAACAAGATCCGCTGACCTTGTTCTCGGACGTGGATGCCATGCCAGCGACAAAATACTTCTAATTCCATTCTTCGCTCACACAGGCTCCCATATGGGTTCATGGTCCATAACGAAATAGCCAGATGGTAGATGATCGTTGACGGTATTTTTAAAAATGTGACCAGCTAGTCCCAGAGAGTTGTTGGTTTAAGTGGAGCGTTTATGAACTCGCGTTTGCTACCATTTAAAATCCTCCATCTGGTGTTTCGTACTTGCTTATGGCATTTGTTGGATCCAACGATGCTTTCCGTCTTTTTGCCGAACATTTGATGGTGAGCTTGTCTGAGATCCTTCGTTTGTGGATTGAATGACTATGCTAATACCTACTGCTTTTTGGTTGGATGAAAGGAAGGATCTACTGATAAAGAATTAGGTGGGAGAAAAAAAGAGGTAGAAATTTTTAACAGAGTACCTATTTCAGATCATGCATAGTAAATGGTTTCTTCTGGCAACTTGACTAACTGCTTGCTATGTCATTTCATGTTGTTCTCCACGGATAGTACTCTTGGTGAGTAGATGAAGGCATGGCAACCACCTATTAATGAGAATAGACTCAACGTTAGTCAAATATATAGTGTGTGGATGAAATAATGGTTTAATTCGATTGGTCATGACCTGTACTCCAACAACAATTGGGTCAGGGGAATACCCAAATAGTCGTCAGTCACCTTACTTTTCAAGTGTAACAAGAAGTTACCACCAGCATATGTACGTTACAGAACGTTAATAAGCTGTTACCGCTTATTGATGTGCATGTACATGCACATTGTCATTTGCTATATGTTAAAATTTAGACAATTTGTTTACAATTGTATTAACGATGAGTATTACAGATAGTATTATAGGCACTTCAATATGTATTACTCCTTCAGTACAGAAATGAACTTACAATTGGTGGCTTGGCTTGGTTCCACATGACCACATAATAAGTAACAGTTTCGCAGAAGAACATGATACTTCATTGGGACAAGTAATTTGAAAGTAGGGTAACTAATATTTAAAATGCAACAAATTTTGATTACGCCATATACATTTTGAGTTACAACCAGTTATGTATATGTTACAATTCATTACAACTAATGAATTTGCAATCGGCAGTTAGGATGTCTTATCTAGTTAAAACTACTGATATTACAACTAGAAATTCCCTGATATTACAACTAGTGATGCTACAACTAGTTAATATCTGATGAACCTTTCCTCTTCTCTCGTCTGCGAAATTGCGCTTGGCACAAACAATAAGTCCTCCCCTCTAACACATAAAATTTCTTAGACACTTTAGTAAGTGTCTATTGAGAACATAGAGATGGTCGATTCGAACCCCAAAATAATTGATGTAGCGAGGCCTTCTCGAACATCTCATTAAATTAGCGAGATCTTCTCGAACATTATGCAACCTACTGGCTGCTATTTGGCACCAAGAACTTGATTTCTGTGTGAACCCTCTATTGATGACACTGCAATTGAGGTTAGAGGAGGGTTGAAGAATACTAATAATAAATTGCATGCACGGGTTCATTGCCACCCTTCAGTAGAAAGAAATGGAAAGTGTGAAGTTATTGAAAATGGAAAATGTTTGTGTAGTAATGAAAGGTGGACGGAAAAATTTTTGTTGTTGAGGGATATACTACTGCAACCGCGCCCTTTTATAGTCCACAGGACCCTCACAATGTGTAAAATATCTCTGGACAACGCATTCCAGGCCAAACAATTTTGTCGTGGAAGTGGAAGCTGTAGAGTTCGATGCATGCCATTGAATTGTGTCAAATCTGTTCACACAATAAAACAAATTATGCAGCTTTTGTCATGAAATGACCTGTACACCAATATTAAGGGTCATGTGGATAAACAGTTACACATCAGTGACCTGTACGTTTAACTATGTACGGATTGCGTTACAACCAGTTAGGTGTATGTTACAATTTATTATAACTAATGAATTTGCAATCAGCAGCTTTTCGTCTGCTCTATTTAAAACTGAATACTATTCCAACTAGATATTCCCGATATTACAACTAGTGATAATACAACTAGTTAATATTCGATGAACCTTTCCTCTTCTCTTGTTTGTGCTATTGCCCTTGGCAGAAACGATAATTTCTTCCACTGACACATTAAATTTCTTAGACACTTTATTAAGTATCTATTGAGAATAGTTACAATGATCATTTCGAACCCCAAAACATTGGGTAGCGAGACCTTCGCGAATATCTCATTAAAATAGTGAGATCGACATTTTTGCATATGAGGCCAACTAGTATATCACACTGAGCAGAGACTGTAGACTCACATGCAGTGCTTGAACCATGTCGGATAAGTTTCGTTATATACAAAGCGACAGATTTGTAGTACCGACAGTGAATATACGTGTTACGTGCTGTTTCTAATCGTTTACAGGACAGCAATGTTGTCCCAAATGTGGAAGCATCATGATGGGTCACATGCTGCTAGTGAACTATTTCAAATCAATTCAGACAATAAAATAAATTTTGCAGCTTTTATCATGTTC